GTCGAGGGAGTGTAACTCGTAGTCACGCTGTGCTGCTACGTGTAGCAGCGCCCGAAGAGTAGTCATCTTCGGGGTCGGGGCGAAGGTCTGAAAGAAGTCCACCCCCTCACGCTGACTGAAGCCTCTAGGCACGTAGCGCGCCTTGAACGCAGGCAGCTCTCCAAGTGGGCGCTTCACCTTGAAGAGCCCCCGGCCATCGACTACGTTCACCCTTGGTTGGGGAACTACGTCGACGTAGGTGCCGGTGGATCTCCAAGATGCCATCTTCGCGTCCATGGCAGCTATCCACTGAGAGGCCCAGGGTCCCGAGGTCGCCTCAGCATAAGTGCGAGGGGTCGGCATGTCAAAAGCGTCCGGGTCGCCCTCAGGGACTAGCAGCATGGCAGAGATGGGGAGCAGCCTGAGACATGAGCGACTGCTGTTGCTGTGACGGCGGCGGCTGCTGCGGTGGCGGCAACTGCTGCTGCTGCGGCTGCGACGACGGCTCCGGCGGTGACTGCGACGACGGAGGAGGGGACACTGGGGGAGAGGCAGGCGGCGAGAACTACGCCACGAGGCCACCAGTGTCAGCCGCCTCCTCGATCGGGACAAGCGATGCGAGGGGAGTGACGTGAGACACTCGAGACGGAGCCGAACGAAGAGGGAGGGGAGCAAGGGCTACCGGGGGAGTGGGAACTAGAAATAGGGGTGGGGAAACAAGGAGACCTTAGTGGGGAAAGCGACGGTAAAAGGAGACAGACTCGTTGAAAGTGACGTTACGCGAGTGAAGGAAGCGGTGAGCAGCGAGTGGTAAAAGTGCCAGTCAGATGAGTGAAGGGGGAAACCAAGGAAGACGTAGGGAACTGTGCGGGCAGTGAGCTTGTCCGTGTCAGAAGCACGAACGTGAGCGAGTCATCCCCAGACGTAGAACGCAGACGTGTCACTTGGAGACTCGGTGCAGAGGAGGGTCGGTGAAACCTACGGCCGCTGGGAGTGGGGCCACAGGTTCAGCTAGTGAGTGGCATAGCAAACAACGAACGACCAGAGAAAATGGGAAGCATCGGTATGGATCATGGATGTACGAGCCACCTCCATGACCAAGCCGATGCATTGCTCAGCGAACCCATTCTGCTGTGGGGAGTTGCGCAGGATGTACAACTGGGTGATGCCCTCCGCACGACAGAACCGGCCAAGCCGACCGGAGGCAAACTCGCCGCCACGGTCGGAGTGGAGACACTACACAGGGAGACCTCGGCGGAATCTCCCAACTACGACCCACGGGATAAGAACGTCAGGCACGTCGGCCTTCCACTCCAGGGGAAACACCATGGTTTAGCGCGTATAGTCGTCGACAAGCACCAGGAAGTAGCGCTCTCAACGCGGCCCCGGTGCAGGGACCGGACCCCATACGTCCAGGTGCAGGGTCTAGAGTGGCGCGGTGGCAGGGCGAAGCAAGGAGGAGTGAGGAGAACGGCACAACAGTTCCTCGACACAGGGCGTGCACGGCGGCGCAGGCGAGGGAGGGAGGGATGGGAGCGACGTAGGGAGACCTAGGACAAGACCGTGCTGGGATATGTGACGCAGATGCGGGAGTGCAGGGTGACCTAGGCGGCGGTGCCACAGCAGTGACGGGTGAGTGAGCGACCGACACGAGCAAGCCGGGGCTACCTGGGGGGACGCCCTCACCGGGGGGGGGGACGCAGTATCAAGCGTAAACTGGCTGGACACAGGGTCCCGGGGAACGTGGTCCGAGGAGTCCCAGTGGCGGTCTTGTTGCAGACCGTGTACCACTCGTGTCCAGGGAACGTAGTGGTGACGCCAAGGTCCTCAAGACAGCCGACACCAACTAGGTTCCTAGAGAATGAGGGGAGGTGCAGGCCTGTAAGAGTGCCCGAGGGGGTTGCCAGACCGGGAAGGGTGGTGGAGGTATGTGCAACTACCGGACCAGTGGAGGGGTCTCCAAGTGCGATGGTGGCAGGGGCGGCAAGAGGCGATAGGGAAGTGTGGTTGTGGAAGAAACAGGTAGACGCACCGGCGTCAAGCGTGAAGGAGAGCGAAGCGCTAGCGGCTGCCGGCTGAGGGGCTAGTGTGGAGCCTAGGCAAAACAAGGCAAGGGGTCCCACGCTTGACACAGCAGGGGAGCCTAGACTACACACAGTGGACACACTTATGATAGGCAACACCGGGTAATAGGGTCCAATCACACTAGAGTCATTAGCATACATGACAGACATAGCATTCCTAATCTTATCCATGTCAAGCTCAAAGACCAGCACACGACTAGTCCGGAGGGTCCGACGCAGGACCGAAGCGGTGGCGGAACAGGTCCTCCAGGTGGCGGTAGCAGCGGTCGGCAGTGTGGTCGGGCCGAAGGCAGACAGTGCCGCGGCGAGGGCCGGTCTGAACCTGGTACTGGCAGGTGAACGCGCTGGGGCTGCCACCTGACACCGAGCTGCGCCCGCCCCCCCCACGACCACCGCCGCTAGCGCCGCCAGTCCACCACGGCGGTGGGGGTCCCCATGGCGACTGCTGCTGCTGCGACGACTGTGGCGGTGGCTGCGGCTGTTGCGGTGGCTGAGTCTGCTGCTGCTGCTACTCTGGGGCACCAGCCCCGGTCCCCTCGTCTGAACCACCGTCCCCGCCCTCACCGCCGCCACCCTCTGTACTGCTACCCCCCTTCCCCCCACCACGCCCCCCTTTGGGGCAGCGACCCTTACCCAGATGCTTCTGCGCTGAGGCCACAGCAGCAGTCTCAGCAACAGCAGCAGAGACGTCAGAGTATGTGCACTGGGAGGGAGCACAGCCTTGAAAGATAGGTACTGCCACAGTTCCGCTAGATTGAGCGATACTGCGCTGGCGGGTCTCTATCTCAGACAGGGCAGTGACAAAGGCAATGAGAGTGAGGTCACTTGGGTGCTGACTAAGGAAGTGGTCGTGGGCTGTGGCTAGGCGGTCAGGGAGGCGAGTGGCGATGAGATAAAGGGTAGCGCAGATTGGTGGCGGGAAGGCTGTGAGCTGTGCTTCCGTGCTAGCAGCGCGGTAGCTCATCTCAAGCGCTTGGAGGTGCATGGCAAGGTTGGCGATAGTGGAGAAGGACGCAAGATCAGGGAACAGCATGGGAAGGATCAGGCGGCCAGCAGAGGCAGTGGCGAGGGTGGAATAGTGCGCAATGTCAGCATCTAAGAAGGCCTGGGCGTTCGCTACAGTGGTAAAGCGAGGACGCTCAGACAGCGGGAGCGCACGGCTGATAGCAAGCTGGGCAACAGCGTCGCGCGAGCACCAGACGGCACGATCAAGCGCAGCAGCGGAAAAGGCCTCACGCTCAGCAGTGGTGGGGGCATCAGGGAGGGCAGCAGGGGCAAGGGGGGCGGGGAAGCAGGCCATCGACATGAACAGCCAGGGAGTGATTGCCCGACGATGACCTGTAAGGTGACGCCGAAGGTTGGCGAGCCACGCCTCAAAGTCGAGCGCCTGATCATCTGTGTCCAGGCGGAGTTGTGACTCTGCCATCGCCATTGCTGAAGCTGTGTGCATCACCTCTTGTGCATCACCTCATGTGCATCACCTCATGTGCATCACTTCATGTGCGTCAACTTATGTTAGTCACCTTATGCGCGTCACCTCATGTGCGTCACTTCATGTGCATCACCTCATGTGCGTCACCCCATATGCTTCACCTCATGTGCTTCACCTCATGTGCTTTACCTCATGTGCATCACCTCATGTGCATCACCTCATGTGCGTCACCTCATGTGCGTCACCTCATGTGCTTGACCTCATGTGCTTCACCTCGTGTGCATAACCTTTTGTGCGTCACCTCATGTGCTTCACCTCATGCGCGTCACCTACCTTATGTGCATCACCTCATGTGCGTCACCTCATGTGTGTCACCTCCTGTGTGTCACCTCATGTGCATCACCTCATGTGCGTCACCTCATGTGCTTCACCTCATGTGCGTCACCTCATTTGTATCACCGTATGTGCATCACCTCATGTGCATCACCTCATGTGCTGCATCTCATGTGCTTCTCCTCATGTGCGTCACCTCATGTGCGTGAACTCATTTGCATCACCTTATGTGCATCACCTCATGTGCATCATCTCATGTGCATCACCTCATGTGCATCACCTCATGTGCTTCTCCTCATGTGCATCACCTCATGTGCATCACCTCATGTGCATCACCTCGTGTGCATCACCTCATGTGCATCACCTCATGTGCATCACCTCATGTGCTTCATCTCATATGCATCACCTCATGCGCATCACCTCATGTGCATCACCTCAGGTGCTTCACCTCATGTGCATCACCTCATGCTAGTCACCTGATTTGCATCACCTCATGTGTATCACCTCATGTGCGTCACCTCATGTGCGGCACCTCATGTGCGTCACCTCATGTCCTTCACCTCATGTGCTACACCTCATGTGCGTCACCTCATTTGCATCACATCATGTGCATCACCTTATGTGCATCACCTCATGTGCTTCACCTCATGTGCAGCACCTCATGCGCGTCACCTCATGTGCATCACCTCATTTGCGTCACCTCATGTGCGTCACCTCATTTGCATCACCTCATATGCGTCACCTCTTGTGCATAATTTATGTGCATCACCTCATGTGCGTCACATTTATGTGCATCACCTCATGTGCATCACCTCATGTGCAGATTGTGACAACGCTATTTCGGAAGAGTAGTTTTATTTGTTTGAACAGAGATTGTATTCCATCATGTCATTATTAGTTGTTTTGTAATATATGTTGCATTCTCCTTAACAACTATCGGTGTTGTTTTAATGCACTGATCAAATCTCCTCGTAATGGTTTCTTTTCTGTCTCGTAATTTGTGTTCATATTTTCCCTCTTAATCTCCACTTCTTTCCGTATTTATTGACGTACGGTTTTATTGCTGTGAATGTAAAGGATCTCTGCATTAAAAACACGAACTTGTGGTCAAGGCACCTACCTTCTGAATTGTACGTATTGGTGATGTTGGTATTACAACCTTACAATGGATTTTGCGCTTCCCTTGTTTATTTGTCTTTCTATATCATCTGTATAAAAATATCAAGAAGTCTTTTATTGTAGGTCTCTTCTCTCTCTCTCTCTCTCTCTCTCTCTCTCTCTCTCTCTCTCTCTCTCTCTCTCTCTCTCTCTCTCTCTCTCTCTCTCTCTATCTCTATCTCTCTCTCTCTCTCTCCATGTTTTTCTCTACTTCGTTCCTTTTCCCCTACTCTCTTTTTCTATCTCCCTAGTTCTAACGTGGGCTTATATTCGTCTTGCCCTTTCTCTTGTTTGCTGCAATCTGCAGAGCACCTTGTTCGTAGCTCGCGGGGTTCAAGCGTTTTGGGATTTGGCCATTGTCGACTTTCTTGCTGCTGTTCGTACAAGGATGGTGGCGTGCTCTTCAACCTCTCCACCCATCTGTACCGGCTATCGCTTTGACGGTGAGTTTGATAGACAGTATAAGCTACAGTCTTGTCACATAATTGGTGATGGTAACTGCCTGTTCCGTAGCATGTCCTTATGGTATTACAATACTCAAGGTCGGTATCGTAGTGTGAAAAAACGCTTTGTATATCACATTGTTTCAGAGTGGGATAACCCTAGTAACGGGTACCCGCTTTTAGCAACGATATGACATGGGAGGGACCTTATCTCAGGTGTGGCATATCGTGCGTACATTTCACGCGCAAATGAATGGGGCTCCATAAATGATGTAAAGGCATTCTCTGTGGTTTACGACACCACGACAATTGTTTGGAGGCTTAGGAGTCACTTTGACGTATGTTTTCGTGCACCAACTTCTCAAAGAGTGATCCATTATTTGTTTTATGAAGATGCAAGACACTATTATCTGTTGTTGCCATCTGAGCGTGGCACCATATATGGGACTAGGTATGTCTCATGAACAAGAAATACTGCTGAATTAAAGTCATCAAGTCGGAATCTGAGCCCAAATGATCTAGTAATTGAAGCAAAGACATCTGAACGTAGCGCAAAAAGCCAAAGGGTTATACGGGACATTAGTGACCCTAACATAAGAATTGTGGAAGGGAAACCAAAAAAAAAAAAAAAAAAAACCTAGAGCCTCAATGCTTTACTATGGACGCATTTCAACAATCTTTAAAATCACGTACGACATGTAGTTTCATCGCGGAATGTTGTAGGTATAACAATGATAATAGGAAAGATAACAAAATGGCCAAGGATGATGTTTGTACACCAAATAGTTGTAGTGATCATCATTGAAGAACAATTGTAATGAATGATAAGATAGGCAATGGGTCACTTGCAGAAAGTAGTCAAGAAGAGGTTTCCTGTTTTTGTGAATCTAGAAAAAAGAATGCGGAAACTGTTCACGATCGCAAGAACTTATATTGTGTTTGCGAGCATCCACCGTTTCAAGCACATGTGAGTGAGCGCCATTTTATTGGTGTACGTGTGACAAAACATGCTTTTAAGTTTGTCATCAAGCATAACAAAAAGGTGTACACATATTCAGGCTTCCGACATGCGTTTGACGCAGCCTTAGCCTGCTCGTACTTCATACATACGAAACTAGGTTCTTCTTCAAACCATGTGATAGACGTGGATGAGGTACTACACGAAGGTACTGGGAAATTGATTCCGAATGAGTTTCTTAATACAAAATTTAAGAATGTTGCCATCGAAGCCTATTAAGTAAAAAGAAAAATTATCCGCACGTCTTGAAGTTTCTGCAAGACTGTAAGTCCGGACCCGACATTGAATGCGCTTCATGCGGTACTCTAAACTTTCAGCGTAATATGGTGATGTTGAGGTGCACAAAACCAGCAAAACGTGTTTGTCAGTTTTGCGCTACTCATGAACGACATGGTAGGCAATCACCACTTGCAAACCTTAGCCAATACGGCTTTCCGAGTTTGCCTTCTGAGCTCCAAGATATCACATCATTGGAAGAGAAGTTAATAAGCCCGCGCATTCCATTCATGAAAATTCATTCGTTATCAATGGGCAAGCAACTTGGCATTCGAGGAGGAGTCGTTAACATCCTTGTGGAAGTGGACGGAATGGTTCAATCTCTTCCAAGATTACCATATGATACACATATAGTTACGGTTCAACTTAAGCATAAGATGAATTACAATAGTAGTGCATTTGAAGAAAGCGTTCGTCCAGGAAAGATATTGAAAGCATTGTGATTCCTATGCGAGCAAGATCTTTTCAAGGAGTATGGTGTTTATCTCAACGAATCCAATATGGAAACTGTGCATCAAAGAACAAATGCATTAATATTGAACACTAACGCACAGTGTGCTAGGAACGAAGTGCCTGAACAATCTATTTCGGATGAGAGTAACGAGTCTGATCCACACAATGTTGGTGTGCTGGACACTCTGCTTACGCAAGAACAGTTCTATCAAGCGCCATCGCAATGCGCAATCAAAATGGCACCTGGCGAGAAATCGCGTCCCTTATCTATTATACTGGACAAAGATGTTGAGGAGTTAAGCTTTCCCTCAATTTACTGCGGAAATCGTAGATTTGGTGGCTCTTCTGCAATTGACGCTTCATATTCGGATATAGTAAAGTGGGAGTTAAAACATGTTGATGGTCGATGCGCAACGAACGTTCCAAACATTTTCTTCAAGATGTATAAAAAAGAGATCATGCAAGTCCAGAATGTTTAAATACTATATGTACTAAGCCATCTTCAATCAAAGTTTTAAAGCTACCACCTTCTGGCATTGCTGTGTTTAATATCAGCGGCTATACGATACATAATGCTTTAATGATTCCAGTTTCCCAAAATATAACTCTTTATAATTTGTCTTCGGATCGTCTCAATACGTTGCGGTCTCATTTTGGTGACGTCAGGGTTGTTGTTTTCAACGAGGTTTCAATGCTCGGTAAGCATTTGTTTCACTGGTTGGATTGTCGATTAAGAGAACTACGTGTCAACTTATACATATTATCTATGTAGAAGTTATAGGCTAGACTGAGGTATGCTTCTAGTGAGTACAACCAACTAGTATTTGTTCTAGGTTTCCACCTCTAGTAATCATTCGTTTCTACGTTAACATGGTATCACGCTTAGGTTAGGATCCCCCCGCCTACCGCTTCCGCCCGTCGCGCCTCCTAGGCCCCGTCGCGCCCCCTAGGCCCCGTCGCGCCCCCCCTGGGCCCCGTCGTGCCCGCTGGGCCCCGTCGCGCCTCCTAGGCCCCGTCGCGCTCCCCCTGGGCCCCGTCGCGCCCACTGGGTCCCGTCGCGACCCCTAGGCCCTAACGCGCCCCCGCTGGGCCCCGTTGCGCCTCCTAGGCCCCGTCGCGCCCCCCATGGGCCCCGTCGAGCCCGCTGAGCCCCGTCGTGCCTCCTAGGCATCGTCGCGCCCCCTAAGCCCCGTCGCGTCCCCCCTCTCTGGACCCCGTCGCGCCCGTTCGGCCCCGTCGCGCCCCTCCTAGGCCCCGTCGCGCCCGCTGGGCCCCTTCGCGCTTCCTAGGCCCCGTCGCGCCTGCTAGGCCCCGTCGCGCCCCCCCTGGGCCCCGTCGCGCCCGTTAGGCCCCGTCGCGGCCCCCCTGGGCCCCGTCGTGCCCGCTGGTCCCCGTCGCGCCTCCGCGGCCCCGTCGCGCCCCCCCTGGGCCCCGTCGTGCCCGCTGGGCCCCGTCGCGCCCCTTAGGCCCCGTCGCGCCCGCTGGCCCCTGTCGCGCCTGCTGTTAGCGCTCGCCCGCCTGGCCTCCTCCTAGTGCCGCTCGGCCTCCTCCTAGTGCCGCCCGGCCTCCTCCTAGTGCCGCCCGGCCCCTTCCTAGCGCCGCCCGGCCTCTCCTCAGCGCTGCCCGGCCCCTCCTCGTGCCCGACCGGCCCCAGCAGCACCAGCCTGGCCCCTCCCAGCACCAGCCCGGCCCTAGAGCACCTGCCCGCCTCCCCTGCTCGGCCTGCCGTGTCCTCTCGGGCCCTGTGTCTTCTGCTTTCCTGCGCTGGGACGCCTAGCTGCTGCCCTACTGGAGAGTGCTGCCGCCGTGTCCCCGCGCCGCTGTGCTCCTGTGCCGCTGAGGAGCTGTGCTGCTGTGCCGCTGTGTCGCTGAGGAGCTGTGCCGCTGACCCTGCACGATGGCTGACTTTGTGCTCCGCCTGGACGCTGAGGGCCACGCGGTTGACTTCGCCGCCTGGCTCTCCGATCTTCGCCGCCAGCTTACAGGTCAGCGCCAGGATGGCCACTCTCTGGTTGTCCATGCTGATGGCTTGCTCCCCCGTCCCCCTGCACCTACTCCCCTCCCTGCTGACCCCTCCTCTGATGACCGTGAGGCTTTCTCTACTGCTGCGCTAGCCTGTGCGGTCTGGGACTCACGCGATGCAGTAGCTCAGGTTGCTATTAGTCACGCCCTCCCTGTGTCTGAGCGCTCGCGTTTTGCTACTGTTGAAACGGCCAAAACTTATTTAGACGCCGTTATTGCTCGCTATTCCACCCCTGCCTCCGCTTCTGCTGGCCGCTTGCTCTTTCCGATGCTGTTCCCAGACCTGGCTGCCTTCCCTACTGTCGCAGATTTTGCCACTCATTTGCGTGCCCTAGAGACTCGCTATCGCACTGCCAGCACTGCTGCCCAGCTCACTGCGCTCCCCCCTCCTTTCTGCATGACGCTCTATTTTATCGCTATGCGCCTGCCAGACCGCCTCGCTAGTGCTCGCGACCACTTTCTTAGCCAGCACCCGGGTGACCTCACCCTGACCGCCTTTGTCGACACCCTCACTGAGATCGAGACTCGCCAGCGCACTATCGCTCAGTCGAGCGGTGCGCCGGCAGTCTCTATCTTTCACGGTTGTGCCCCATCCCCGTGCACGTTCACTGACGTTTCGGCTGCGGTCGCCACGGCGACCCCTCTTACCGAGACGGCTGCTGCTGTCCACCCGCAGCAGCGCTCGCGTCGCGGTGGCCGTGGCCGCCAGGGAGGTAGGGGTGGTGACGCAGGTGGTAGTGGTCGTGGTGGTGGTGACGGTAGTCCGCCTGAGGGGACTACCACCGGTGGGCAGGAGCAGCAGTCCCAGCAGCAGCAGGACCAGCCCCAGCCGCAGCCGCCGTCCCAGCAGCACCCGCCGCAGCCGTGGGCTCGTCTCCCGCCTGGTTGGCCCGGCACCTCCGGAGGCGGTGGCCGTGGTGGCGGCCCGCGCAGCTTGGCGTCTACCAGCGGCTCCAGTGCTGTGACCTGCCAGTACCAGCTTCAGACCGGGCCTCTCCGCGGCACTCTGTGCCGCCGCCCGCACCCGACCGCCCACTGTTTCCGCCGCCTCGACGATCTTTTTCGTCGTCGCTTTGGCCCGGCCCCGGACCTCCCTGACTGGCACAGCCTGCTCCGCCAGGGCGTGCCGATCTTTGAGTTAGACATGGATCAGATAGGTGCTGCTTTGCATGCTTTGTATGCTGACGCTTCTAGTGTTGATGGATCTTACTACCATGTGTACTCTAGTTTAGGTGTTTCACCCTTGTGTAGCTTAGCTTCCCCTGCTGCGACAGGCGTAGGACTGCCTAGGTTGCCTAGTCTAGTCGCTGCACCGGCTCCGTCCGCGGCCTCCGCCACTGCGTCGCTGTCCTTCACTCTCGACTCTGGTGCTTCTGCCTGCTTCTTCCGCGACCGTTCCACGCTCACGCCGCTTGCTGCACCTGCTGTTGTCTCTCTCGCTGACCCCTCTGCGGGTCCGGTCGTCGCGCGCAGTTCTACGTCCCTTCCCTGTCCGGCAGTTCCCTCGGGCTCCCTTACTGGCCTCCACGTTCCCTCGTTCTCGAGGAACCTGGTTGGTGTCGGCTGTCTCCAGGACCTCGGCGTCACCACCACGTTCCCCGGGCACGAGCGGTTCGCTGTCTGTTCTGAGGCTGTCTCAGGTTCCCCCCTTGCGACGTTCCCCCGGGACCCGGTGTCCGGTCTGTTTACCCTACACACCGCTTCCCCCCCGGTTGGTGCGTCCTCCCAGGTCGCTGCAGCTTGCTCGTGTCGGTCCCTCACTCACCCGTCCCTTCTCTGGCACCACCGCTTAGGTCACCCTGCTCTCCCGCGTCTGCGTCACATGTCCCAGCACGGTCTTGTCTTAGGTCTCCCCGCGTCGCTCCCTGCCCTTCCTCCCTCGACTGCGCCACCGTGCACGCCTTGCGTCGAGGGTCGGCTCCGCCGTGCTCCTCACTCCTCCTCGCTGCGTCCTGCTACTGCCCCCCTTCAGACCCTGCACTTGGACGTTTGGGGCCCTGCCCCCGTCCCCGGACCGCGCGGTGAGCGCTACTTCCTTGTGCTCGTTGACGACTACACGCGCTACACCACGGTGTTTCCCCTGGAGCGGAAGGCCGACGTGCCCGACGTTCTTCTCCCGTGGGTTGTAGCTGCGCGTCTCCACCGCGGTCTCCCCGTGTTGTGTCTCCACTCCGACCGTGGCGGCGAGTTCGCCTCTGGTCGGCTTGGACAGTTCTGTCGTGCGGAGGGCATCACCCAGTCGTACACCTTGCCGGACTCGCCACAGCAGAATGGGGTTGCTGAGCGCCGCATCGGCTTGGTCATGGAGGTCGCCCGTACCTCCATGATCCATGCCGATGCCCCCATTTTCTGTGGCCGTTCGCTGTTCGCTACGCGGCTCACCAGCTTAACCTGTGGCCACGCTCCCAGCGGCCGCAGGTTTCGCCGACCCTCCTTTGGACCGGGTCCCCCGGTGACGCGTCTGCGTTCCACGTCTGGGGCTGCCTTGCTCACGTTCGTGCCTCTGGCACGGACAAGCTCACTGCCCGCACTGTCCCCTGTGTCTTCCTCGGTTTCCCCCTGGACTCGTCTGACTGGCTTTTCTACCACCCGCCGTCTCACCGCTTCCTCCACTCTCGTGACGTCACCTTTGACGAGTCCGTCTCCTTCTACCGCCGCTTCCCTCACCGAGGTCTCCCAGTTGCCCCCCCCTTTTCCTTGCTCCCTCTCCCCCGGTAGCCCCTGCCCCTCTCCCGCCTCGTCCTGCCCCGTCTGGTGTCTCCCACATCACTCCCCTCCCGTCGGTTGTCCCCGTTGAGGAGTCTGCTGACTCTGGTGGTACCCCCGGTCCGTCCTTGCCGCGTCCCCCTTCCCCAGTGCCTCTGCCCCCACTGTCGC